GCGCTGGCGGGGCCGCTTCTGCCGTTTCAAAACTTGGAAGGCGGCCGCGGGTGTTTCCCAGGGCTGGTGTGAGGTGGGGACTCTTCCCCAAGGGGTTTCGCGCCGCACCTGAGGCAGGAGGAGGTGACCCGGGGAAGAGCGAGCCGCAGGGCCATGGTGGGGGCGGCGGGGGCTGGAGCACCAGTGCCAAGAACGGACTGAGATGCCGCGCACAAGAACAACATTCAAACGAGAAATCAGCATGGCCTTGTGAGACTGGGCTGCCCAGGGAGGGCGTGGAGTCCCCACCCCTGCAGGGTTGAGTCGGCTTGACCCAGAGCTGAGGGATCTGGTGGAGTTGGGAACTGTCAGTGCTAGGTTTACAGTTGGGCTAGGTGATCTTCAGGGTCCTTTCCAACCCACACGATTCTGTGATTCTGTGAAAGCTGACTGGGTTTGCTTCACTCACTCACTTCCAGCTATTCTCCGTTCCATGCTGAGGCTGGGACACATCCCTGGGTTTCACCCCATGCTTCAACAGCTTGTAACAGCAGTTCAGTATCATACTCATTTAAAACTGTTGTAAAGTAAAATACTGTTTTTATTAGCAGCATATCACACTAAATCAGGTGCAGGTTTTAAATTACTCAAAACCAGAAGACACGTTCTTAGAACATTCTGGTACTTCCCTAGGGAAAGGGAGACCTCTAATACCATCTCAACTCAAAGATACCAGGGACTTAATAAGCAGCAGATTATTTTGGAGCTAGCATCACAACCCAGGCAATGAGGGTGGATTCTTTTATTTCACCAGTATCTTAATTACAGAATAACCCACCTAAACCATTTCGTCCTATTTCCAGGCATTTTATTATCCTTCAGATGACGAAATGTATTTTTTCCTTCTCATCTCTACCCCATTATCATCCCAAGCAATTCAGGGGGATGCTGGTGGGAACACTGCCCCGGTTCCCCCAGCTCTGGAAATGTCAGCTGGTTATGATGGTTTGCCCAGCTGGTAGGAGAGAACACAGTGTTTTCTGAAGAGTACTTGTGTTTTTCTAGGCAGTTTTCTGATCTCTTTCCAAAGACCTTTCCCCTAGTTCAGTTGACAACAGCTGCTGGAAAGCTCCTCCCCAAGGGAGGGGAAAAGACATAATTGATTTTTTAAGAATAACTTCACAACATTTAAACAAAACAGGATTGGTGCTGCTGTCAACCGAGGAAGGGTCTGGCGCTAAGAGCTGTTGGCATGACACACTCCGGGCTTTGCAGGATCATGTTTACCTGTCGCCTGCCTTGGTGGAGATCCAGCGCTACCTGCAAGCTATGGCAGGCAGGTGGCTTTCTGCCTCGCGTCTGGGAGAGGTGCCAACCACCAGGTTGTAAAGGAATCAACGCGACTGCGCGGCAGGGGCAACAAGTTGGCATGCAGGAGAAACAAGTCTTAGAAGATCTGGATATGCCCCTTGCAAGGAGAGAAATGGAGACCCTCTTCCAAGAGCAGCCCGAGACTGGGAACCAGTATTTGGAAGATGCTTTTCTTCAGAGTTACTTGAAAACTCACCTTCCTCCCAAGGTCTGGCGTGCATGTTTCTGTTCTGTGTGTACTTGCTACAGTTCTGGCTAGGTCACTGTTTAAGACTGTGAATTGAACATTTCTCTGAGCCTTATTGTGTCCGAGCATTTAACTGGGGAGAATTTATCAGCATTCTTTAAAACTTGTTAGTTTTGAATCACTGCAGGTGTGAAAAATATCACCAGGACATAAACAGAAATAGCAAGTGGCTTAGTGATCTCCTGTGATTGGTCTGGGTGTTGCAACAAGAGTGTTGTTTTGGGATTGTCAGTGCAGGCATTTGTTGTCTAGTCATCCAGAGACAGAAATTTCAGAGAAAGGGAAGAAAACTAAGGTGCTGCTTCTCTGCCCTCAGGGAAGAGAGGCTTTTAAAGGAGATTCCTTTCAGAAGGAACAGGGCTGTTCTTAGCTGAACGCTCAAGAGGATGCAAAGGCCCGTTGGGGTTTGCTTGTTCTTAGTGCAGGTTTTTGGCTTTCCTGGGTTGTTTTTCAGACAGGGAAGGCTCTGTACAGGTTGCAGGTGTGCAGAGAGGTGGGGTAAGACCCTGAGCTGTGGGTCTCCGTTCTGTGAGGTCCAATCCTACAGGAACCCCTGGGAGGAGGCAGCTCATTTCTCTGGCTGTCCTCTGCTGTCACCCCAAGGACTGCAACTGTTTCCCACTTTTCAAGGACCATATCTCATGGAGCAGAGTATGACCTCTCTCCATGATTTATTCCAGCAGAAGCAATGCAATGACACTGAGTGAGTAAAGGGGCAGAACCTGGTGTTCAGTGATTCTCTTCCTTCCACCACTTGCTCTCCAGGTCTGTGAGGCCTTGCAGACATGGCGTAGTAAGAGTGTGGTGGCAGCACTGGGAGCTGGCTTTTGTCACAGCCATCATGAAAGACTGATTAACAAAATCCCTTGGGAGGCTGCCTTGAAGGGTATGGGAGTCCAGGAAGGCTGGACATACTTCAAGAGAGAAGTCTTAAAGGCACAGGAACAGGCTGTTCCCGTGTGCCCAAAAACAAGCAGGTGGGGGAGGAGACCAGCCTGGCTAAACAGAGACCTTTGGCTGGATCTCAAGAACAAAAGTACAATCTATGACCTTTGGAAGAGGGGGCAGGTATCTCATAAAGACTATCAAGATGTAGTGAAGTTATGCAGGGAGAACATTAGGAGAGCCAAAGAGCAGCTAGAGGTCAACCTGGCTACAGCTGTTAAAGATAATAAAAATTATTTCTATAAATTCATTAACAGCAAAAGGAGAATTAGGGAAAATCTCCCTCCTTTACTAGATGCAGAAGGAAACATGGTAACTAAGGATGAGGGAAAGGCTGAGGTGCTCAACGCCTACTTTGCCTCAGTCTTTAGCATGGAACTGGCTGTTTCCTGGACACCCAGCCTCAGGAGCTGGGAGATGGGGAGGGGAAGCAGAATGAGGCCAGCATGATTAAAGAGGTCAGAGACCTGCTGCACCACTTGGATGCACACATGTCTGTGGGACCGGATGGGTTAAACCCAAGGGTGCTGAGGAGTTGGCAGATGTGCTCGCCAAGCCGCTGTCCATGATTTACCTGGAGCCATGGCTGATTGGGGAGGTCCCATTGGACTGAGGGTGGCAAAGGTGACACCCATCTACAAGAGAGGCAGAAAGGAGGATTCAGGAAACTATAGACCTGTCAGTCTGCCCTCAGTGCCAGGGAAGGACATGGAGCAGGTCATCTTGGGTGCCATTACAAGTCATATAATGGACAACCAGGGGGTCAGGCCCAGGCACCATGGGGTTATGAAAGGCAGGTCCTGCCTGACAAACCTGATCTCCTTCTATGGCAAAACGATCTGACTATTGGATGAGGGAGAAGCTGTGGATATTTTCTACCTGGATTTTTGGAAAGTATTCAACACAGTTACCCACAGAATTCTCATAGAAAAACTGTCTGCCCATGGCCTGGATGAGTGAACACTCTGCTGGGTCAAGCCCTGGCTGGATGGACAGTCCCAGAGAGTGGTGGTCAGTGGAGCTAAATCCAGCTGGCGGACGGTCACAAGTGGTGTCCTCAGGGCTCGGTGTTGGGGCCATTTCTGTTCAACATCTTCATTGATGATCTCAATAAGGACACAGAGTGTGTCATCAGTGAGCTCGCAGGTGACACCAAGTGACATGGGAGTGTCGATCTGTACGAGGACAGGGAGGCTCCGCAGAGAGACCGGTATAGATTGGATCGGTGGCCAACGTCAGCGGGATGAGCTTCAACAAGGCCAAGTGCCAGGTCCTGCCCTTGGGCCACAACCACCCCCTGCACAGCTACAGGCTTGGGGAGGTGTGGCTGGAGCTGTCTGGGAGAGAAGGATCTGGGGGTTCTTAACCGAGTAACAGCTGAATATGATCCGGCAGTGTGCCTGGGTGGGCAAGAAAGCCAACGGCATCCTGGCTTGGATTAGAAATAGTGTGACCAGCAGGAGCAGGGAGGTGACAGTCCCCCTGTGCTCTGCACTGGGGAGGCCACACCTGGAGGGTTGTGTCCAGGTTTGGGCACCGCAGTACGAGAGAGATCTCGAGGGGCTGGAGAGAGTGCAGGGGAGGGCAACGAGGCTGGGGAAGGGCCTGGAGAGTAAATCCTGTGAGGAGCCATGGAAGGAGCTGGGAGTGTTCAGTGTGAGGAGGAGGAGGCTGAGGGGAGACCTCATCACTCTCTGCAGCTCCTGAAAGGACATTGCAGAGAGGCTGGGGCTGGGCTCTGCTCCCAGGGGATCAGGGACAGGACAAGAGGGAACGGCTTTAAACTGCAACGGGGGGCGTCAGACTGGACATGAGGAAAAAATGTTTCAGAGAAAGAGTGGTCAGGGAGTGGAACAGGCTGCCCAGGGAGGGGGTGGAGTCCCCATCCCTGGGTGTGTGTTTAAGGGCCGTTTGGATGAGCTGAGGGAGGATGTGGGGTAGGGGAGAACTTTGTAGAGTCGGGCTGAGGGTTGGACACGATGATCCCGAGGGGCTTTTCCAACCTGAATGATTCTGTGAAAGATGGGAATGAGACCTCCCTAAGCAGCAGCATGGCCTTCTCGCCAGAAGAGAAAATGGGGGAAAGGGTGGATGCCTTTGGGCAAGCATAAAGATCTTGCTTCTCATCTGCACCTTTGGAAGTAGGTTCAGATCTCCTGAAGACTTAAAAGGATCAGTGATGTCTTTTGCCGAGGCTGAGGACTGCTCTCCACTCCTTCCCCAAAGAGACAAAGCAGCTGCAAAAGCTACCAGAGCATCAGCAGCATCTCCCTTACATTTCTGTGCTTGGTCCCAGCGGGGCAGTGTTGCCTCGCCGCTGAGGAGAGCCCAGTGTGCTGGCTGCTACACACAGCACCCGCTTGGCTGCAGCCTGAGAGCTACCTCTCCCTACTAACACCTCCTCTCCAGGAGAGCAGGAGGAAGCTTTGTGTCCCACTGAGCAGACACCACGCTGGAGGTTGATTCCTGTTGTACTATTCACCTGTGCTCAGCGGTGGACAGAGTCATTTTCCTGGAACTGAGCAAAAGATTTCTTTCATTCTTTGAAGCAGATTTCTGCAGAACACAGAGGAAAGCACCTGCCTTTTCTGAGCACTGTTGTGGAGGTATCTGTTGGTCTTTGATCCCCCTAAAAATATATCCTTTAATATAAAGGATCATCTGTTTGCACTCTTAATGTGCAATAATTTGCACATTTCCAATGTATTAATCCCTGGGACATCAAAGGACAGATTGACAGAATGAGCCCGCCCAGCAGATGCTGTGAGGTAGCAGCTTCTGACCCTGACGGTTTACAGGTGCCCTCTCCGTATCCTGGTGTATGTTTTCTGGTGCACCCGGGCTGCATTCAGCAGTTACAAATGTAAGAGCTCTGATTTTATTCTTTTGCCATGGAAATAAACACATTCACTTGGGTAACACGGTGGTTTGTAAGGCTGCATGTGGTCAGGGCATGAGCTCACAGCTAGGCAGTCAGGGATTTTTTTAGAAAATGTGGATGAGGTAAAGGGACTGTTGTAGTTTGAGTTCCCTGTAGTGTGCTGACCAGGAGACTTATTTGGTAGACTTATATTCTTCTGCCCACAAAAACCCACCAGGTAAACAGCTCAAAGGTTCCTGTGCCTCAGGGATCAGCAAAGGCCATGAACCTTGGGTTCTTAGGTTATTCTCTAAAACAACCTTCAAATTGTTGTCAAGATATGATAAGCACTGGAGGCATACATCCATCCCAGCTGAGCTCCCCTGACAGCAGGAGTGCAGTGGGACCTGTACCAGCTGACAGGGCTCTTGTGAATGGTTTTGCCTTCTTTTGTCATTTTAAACACTATTTCACTGTTTACCTGAAGGAAAACTGGCTGGTCTGAGGATGGAGACTTCCAGAGTAGTAACTGGAAGGTGTTTGTTGGATCCTCATTACACACGTTGAACGGCACAGGGATGAAAGAATCTTAATGAAAAGTCAATATAGGAGGAGGCAGGGAAAGGAAGAAACAGTGTTTGTATTTTATAAACAGCAAATTAATGTGTTTTATAATTGCACCATTCTGGGTACAGCAACTACAGCATTCACCTCCACAATTGCTATGTTGAGGAGGAAACAAGCATCTCCTGAGGGGCAGAGAACAGCAAAAAAATATTATTCTGATGAAAGCAAATCTAGATCAGGTGCTTCTCAGACCCCCAATACAGTATTGGATGTATTGATGGTAACAAGGATCAAACACTGCTAGAGGTTGTGTCCACCTGGCCTAATTTTAACTATCTACAAGTCAGGTTATGTAAGTCAGGGCAATTTCACTAGGCTTTGGCCACAGACAGTGAAGAGCAGTTCCTGTCATTCCTGTCACCTTGAAATAGGTATCTAAGGTTGGAATGAATCACTGCTCTGTGGGTGCTGGTTTCCCTCCTTCAGCTATGGACAGATTACTCCACCCAGTCAGCCCAGCCTGGCAGAATCGAGCATGAATCCTTATCCAGGGCCGTTCAGGAAGCTGGATGCAGGGTGGAAATTTGAATCTGGACACCCTGGGTGCCAGGCTGGAGCTCAAAGGGTTGCTCCATCCCTCCTTTTCTAACCTGATAGGCAGGTAACACTGAGCCCAGTGGAAGTTTTCCTATACAGATGAAGGCTTTCCGTTTTTGGCAGCTCTTCCCCTGGCATTCTTCTCCAACAGTAAATCACAGAGCGGCTGAGGTTGGAAGGACCTCTGGAGATCGTCTTGCCCAGCCCTCCTGCTCATGTGCATCTGTGTCATTCTCATCCCTGATACAAAACCTCTCCTGTCTTTCCTGCAATCCAGAGATGCTGCCAAATGTAACTTGAAAAAATTATTTGGGGGCGGGGGGGAGAGTGACAGCTGAGCACAGCTGTGCCAGCAGAGGCTGAGACAAGCTGTCCTGCTCGCGTTACAGAACACATGGAAGGACCAAGTGTCAAGAGACTACTAGCACTGCAGGACAATAGGGTTGGTCCTCTGCCTTTCCAGTGAGGACCGAGGCACCTTGCCTTCTGAAGATGTGCTGAAGGGCTGCTCTTGTTGCTTCACAGGTACTGGAGGAGGTAAGTCAGGATCTGGAGAGATTTGGAAACCGTCTGCTAACCACGATCAAACCTCTAGGATGGGAATGCGAGTTGAACCCCCCTGTGTTTCGGCAGTATGATGCCTGGGGGCAGCGGGTGGATCACATTGTCACCTGCTCGGCCTGGAGGAGGATGAAGGAGATTGCAGCAGAAGAGGGGCTGATTGCCGAGGCCTATGAAAGAAGATACTCCAACTGGAGGTAACTGGGGGACAATGGGTGTGACTTGGTGCCTTGCTGTCTATTCTTAGCAGGGTAGGACTGTTGTTGTATAATGGGTAACAGATGATGCATGGACAAAAGCACACCTACCGCTGTACTGAACAGCAGTGTCTGTCCGCTGTAATGTTCCACTCCAGCAATGATAAGCCGTGACTAATGGCTTACAGTTGATCATAATATTCTTTGATGTCACCTTCCTGATTCTGGGGCCTGGCAGTTCCCTGCACTGTTCCAGCTTTACATGCATTAGCTGTAACACAGCTAAAGGTCTGGGATTCTACTTACAATTTCATTGTATGCCAGCCTCTGGAGATAGACCCACATTTCTTATTTATTTCTAAAACCTGCACTTAATGTGCACCAGCTGGCAGGCAATGCCTTCCATCCAGCCTTGCACTGACAATCCCTCTGGGACTGAGAAACTCTTCTGTTCCTCTTCTCTCTTCCTGGCTGAAACAGTTTTTTGCCCTCTCAGAAATGAGTGGTCTCATTCTCACCTGGTTTGGCTGTATTTTGTTCCTCTCTTCCTAGTTCCCTCCTGCTGTTGAACTGTTTCTTAACCTGTCTATTTTCACTCACTTTCTTTTCTAGCCGCCTGCATCAGGCTGTCAAACTGTACTTATTTTCAAGCTTATCTGGAGGTTTCAGCTGTCCACTGGCCATGACTGATGGGGCCGCCAAAGTCATTGAGGTATGAGCTCAGCTGGTCTCTGAGGGCACAGCCCACGTCCTGGAAGTGCTGGGTAGAGGCTGGAGCACTGGCCAAGGATGGAGGAGAGCTCATCTGCCATCTGGCTCTGGGCATGGCCCTTCCTTGCTCTGTGACTCAGCTCTGGCTCCCACTGCCTTTCTCCTTTAGTCACAAAGTCTTTGTGCCCAGGGTAGCTTTTATGTTTACTTACAACACTGTGTACAATAAAACCTTTGCTGCACATAAAACCTGTGGTGCTGCAGGTAGTTGGAAAGCTGTCCAACATGTTTTCACTACGAGATAGTTTGTTGTTCTGATACTTGTGTGGAGTGGCAGTTAAATTTATTGGGCCAGATCCATACCTGATGTAAATTAAACAAACTAGCAAGAATTTCCCCAGTTTGAAGATTTGTCTCTGCATCTTAGTGACACCCTTTGCACTATGTCAGTGGCTATGTAAGATGCAGAGAAAAGCTAGTCCTTAAGTAGTTACCCTGGCCATATAATTCAGTAAAAAGAAATATGAACGTATGCCAATACCCTGGTATGTGTGCTGTTTTGAAAGCTCTCTGTCCGGATGTCTAGCAGTACAGAAATCCAAGGGGTGTAGGGATGCTCAGCACTCTCCTTTGCAGCACAAGTCTGCCCCTTCTGTCTGGACAGTGCTCCAGCTGCCGCGCAGGAGCTGGGCAGGTTCAGGTACTCTCGGCAGTCCCTGCGGGTGCACGGCAGGGCAGGACACGCAGTGCCCCCTCCCCTGCTTGCGGACTGTCCGTTCTGAGCCTGGGACACACCAGTGGTAGTTAAGGCAACTGTCTAATTTCATCTGCTGTGTTATGATCATCTTAGTTTCTTTCCCTCCCCCAAAATAGTCACTAGGTATTCCTGGATCTATGAAAAATGCTTTTGACCACCTGACCTCCCGTGACCCCAAGAAGTTCTGGACCTCTGGCCAATGGATGACTGAGCGCAGGGGAGGCTCTGATGTTGGTATGTGCTCTGAGGTGGGAAGCAACTGCAGCACCAGCACATACATGTGTTGGTGAGAAATTAAGAGTGTGGGGAACATACAACGCCAGGTAGCTGGTTTAGGAAACTTCAACTGGAATCATCCAAATCCTCTGCATATCTCTGCTTTTTAGCCAACAAAAGGCCCAGCTTTGTCCACTGATGCATGCAGTAAACACAGGCAGGTACAGAGCTGTGTTCCTTGCACAGATATCAGACAGATGCCTAGCTCCATAATCTAAACCTTGAGCGAGACAGTCAGACCCATCCCAACTGGGACCCAGAAAGCATTCTTGGCCTTCAACTTCTATTCCTTGGTTAGTAATAGCATGATGGGCCAGGAAACCTCAAAACTCCACTGTGGAGACAGAAATGTGGAAGGGGAGTCACCTGCATCTCATGAAGCTGCAGTTGGTTTCCTGGTGGAAGAAGTGAAAGGGTCAGCTGCGGTGTGGAAGATGTGCATCACTGCAGGATTCTGTAGCACCTTTTGTTGTTCTTGGTCATCGTAGCTCCTGAAGAAATGAAGGTGTTGGATTCCACACTGCAGTACTCATTACAAAGCACTGCTATTACCAGCTGTTAGTCTGGAGCAAGTGCTGGAAAGGCTCACAGTTAAACAGAGCATATTTCCTTTCTAGTGCTTAACTCTGGCTGCATTTCTTATCCAGGGTCAATGCAAGAGATTAGCAGCTAATCCATGCTCCATCTTGATAGCAAGAGGTGACTTGAAAGAGCTTCTGCTTAAACTGAAAATCAGCATACAGAAGTTCCTGTAAAGCCAAGATGATCTTCTCCTTTCTTGCAGCGAATGGCACCGAGACAGTGGCCAGAAAGCAGCCAGATGGTACATATCGTCTCTATGGTTTTAAATGGTTTACATCAGCTGCTGATTCTGATGTGGCGTTAACCCTGGCCAGGGTAGCAGATGCTGAAGGAGAAGTAAAGCAGGTCTGTTTGATGGTGGAACCAGGGGAAGGAGTAGGGGCAGTCTTTGTCTTCCTCGTTTCATTGTAATGAAATTCTCTTTGCACCCCTTTCAACGGCCCCAGGGTTCCAGGGGCCTGTCCCTGTTCTTCCTGAGGGTTTGCGATGAGGAGGGGAAGCTGAACAGCATCCAAGTGCAAAGGCTGAAGGACAAGTTGGGCACGCGGCAGATGGCAACAGCAGAGCTATGGCTAGATGGAGCTAAAGCAGAGCTGGTATGAAAGGGTTTCACCTTCCTCTTGGGACTGGGCTGGCCTGGCACTCAGGGGGGTTCTGGCAGTGATACCAGCTGGAAAAGTTCCTCTCTTCCTCCTCAGTGTCCAGCTGTTAATGCTTCACCAGTGGGGCTGCGTGTGGGACAGAGCTGAGAACAGCTCAGGAAAAGACAGGAGGGAAGAAAGAAAGAAAAGTAATTTTAAGATGATCATTTACCTAATCCAGTTGCATCGACCCAGCTGAGAGACAGTTCTGTGTAGCGTGCAGGTGGGAACAAGCAACAGGGACCAGAACTGATCGTGCTGACATGGTCATGCCACAGACTTGGCTGAAATGAGACAGCCATATTTTAAAGCAAGCAGATCTTTGTGGTGCCTGAGGACAGACAGAGATGAAGTGGACAGCCTATATCTGTCTGTTGACACAACTTTCACTTAGATAGTCCCCTTCAGGGCTGTGCAAAAGGCTCACATCAGCCTTTGTTCTTTGATGCTTTCAGATCTCTGCAGAGGGTCATGGCGTGGCCTCCATCTCCCACATGCTGAACATAACTCGGATCCACAATGCCATTGCTGCAGCAGCTTCCATGAGAAGGTGAAGGCAGCACGGATCCCCCCAGAGCTGCAGGAGGAGCTTATCTGGTCAGGGGGACTTTGCAATGCTCAGCTTTGCAGCCAGCTGACTTCTAATGCCTTTGCAGGCTCGGGTCTGGCGGCCAGCAGTGCTGGAGAGGGTTGGCCTGTGTGGGGGGACCTAGGCTGGTGTGGTACAGCTGAGCAGGGTTCTTCCAGTGTGGGTGGCTGTGAGAGAGAGCTCACAAGTGGGAGGTTGCTGGTCTGACTGCTTTCCCTGGCTGTTTTCTCTCTAGGATGATCAGTCTGAGCAGGGAATATGCCCGTAGGCGTGTTGCCTTTGGGAAGCTCCTCAAGGACCATCCCCTGCACATGCAGACGATCGCCCGGATGGAGGTGAGGCTTTTGGGAGCTGAGCTGAACCTGTTGGGGAGGAAAGAGGGCAGAGATCCTCAGGTGCTGATGAGCACAGCCAGCCTGCCTCTGTGTGCAACAGTCAGATGGAGAAGGCTGTTCCTGCTACAGTGAGACATATGCTGCAGGGCAGTTGCCTTATTCTAGTGGGGTTTGATCTGATGATAGACCTAGCTTCTCTGCTAGGTTATCCTAAACAATTACCTGGGAGCTGTCCTGAGAGTAGTGCCAGAGTTCATGCACCTGCTATGATATGCCATGACCTCTGAAGTTGGTCGTTAGTATCAGAGTCCCATCATGACACCAGTCTCCTAAACTGCAGTTAACAGACTTTTGTCCAAGACTGGCAGAGACTCATCCAACTTCCCTGGTAGCTCATGCACCAGGAGATGGGCTGTTCCCAGCAGGCTTGAAGAATTCTTGAGTAGTCACCATGCACTTCAGCTTCTGAGAAGTTTGTCTTCACTGTGTACCTGCACAGTGCTCATCACCACAAGGTGCTGAGCTTGAGTACAGCCTCTAGGTGTGAATGTCATCTAAGGCAATAGCAGGCAATGGAGGAGAGAGCAGCATGAACTGGCACTCTGGCTCTGGGCTTTGGGAGGAATTTCACACATGGGCCTTCACTCCCAGCAGAATGTCTCATGGCTTTGCTATAACGCTGAACTGTAGCAGCTCACTAAATCCACAGGACACAGGTGGCTTCCCACCCCTACTAAAACTTCAAAATGGTGACACAAAGTTGTCCTCTCACCCATCTGGGTACTACTTCTTTTAAGTGGTGTAACACCAAAGCTTGCCCTTGGGCTGCAGTAGGTTCATGCAAATTTTTAAAACAGTATTTAAAAATCCTCTTGCAAGGTGAGGGAGAGGGAAAGTGGTGAACATCTGTCAAACATAACTTAAAGCTCCAGCGTCTCTTAGCCTGTGGCCAGAACACCAACTCAGAGAGAAAGGCCAGACCCCATATAGTCCCACAGCACAGGGGCTGCAGAGCTCCATATCCTAATGCTTTCTAAATCACAACTTGCCAGGGAAGTAAGTTGCTCAGCAAGAAATTTGTCAAAGACTTTGCAGATCCTGGTGCTCAGAGGATGGCCATCAGATGTGTGGTCTCATGACCCTTAGCCATGGAAAAGATGTGGATTTGTGACCTGGATACCTGATAGGAGCTTGATAAGGCTCCAAGTAGGCCTGATGAAATGGCATTGCCCCTTTCCTCGTGCTAAACTGCAGTGTCCAAGAGCAGTAGCTCCAGACTACCTTTAGTATTTCTTGCTTTATGCCTTGGCTGGTCAGTGGTCTTTGTTTCTGAAGCTGTGGGTCTGTACAGGCAAGGGTGGCATTTTTCCCAGGTCCAAGTATTGCACATCCCTTTGAGATAGTCTCACAGCACTTCAGCAGACCAGGCTGGAACCAGCCTGAGTCAAAGATCCTTGCCAGTGAAGCTCCCCAACTCCTCTGCTTGCAGGTGCAGACACGAGGGGCCTTTCTTCTGATTATGGAGATCGTTCGTCTGCTTGGACTTGTAGAAGCCAACATGGCGAGAGAGCAAGACCAGCTTCTCTTGAGACTGCTGATACCAGTTGCCAAACTGTACACTGGGAAGCAGGTATGGAACAGCCAGTTTGATTAGCCCAGAGTGGGGCTGTGTGGCACATCAGCAACCACAGAGCTGGAAAGAGGAGTGGTGGACACGGCCAACGTGAAGGACAGCGATAGCAGGGGGTACTGGCAGTGACCTCTACCTACAGGGCCTGCAGTGATTATTGCTCTGCACCGAGGCTGGACTTTGTGGGTAGGAGACGTGTCCCTTTGCTCTCAGCCATCTGATCAGAGCAGATGGAGCCAGCACTGTCAGTGAAGTACTCCATGGAGAAATGCTGCTTGGGCTGCCCCGAGACCAAGGTCAGGCACTGAGCCACAGGGAATATCATTCCCCTAGCTATGAATACATGGAAGGGAAGGTGTTAATAGCTTAGCCTTAATTTTGGGGGTCTGTCCCTCTTCTAGTTGCTGAAATACACAGAAGCTGACACACCATAGGCAAGCAGAAGGTAAAGACTCTCCTGGACTAGAGACACATACTCCCATGTACCAAACAAACCAGAGGTTTATCCTTACCTAGAGAGGACTGTACTGAGACAGACTCTCCCTGCATCTTCTCCCAAGGTCTGATTGCTCCTGCAGGTCCTCTCTCAGTGTTACTCAACCTTTATTCCCCAGGCTCCTCCTCCTGCATATGATGAGCAACCTGCTTCAGTAAATCAGTGGGATCCAGTCCTTCTCATCCCAGCAGGAACTGATGTGTGATGTTGGAGGGTTCTGGCCGCTCTTTCCCCTCATGCAATGTGGATCCTGTCAGCTCTCTGCATTTTGCAGGCTTCTTCTGTTGTTGTTGAGGCAATGGAGAGTTTTGGAGGACAAGGCTACATGGAGGACACAGGCTTGCCGGTCATAGTCCGTGATGCTTTGGTAAGGCAGCAGGAGAAGCAGAAGCAGCTCCCGTGTGTCACCTCATCCCTGGCGCAGCACTCTGTGGCTGTCTGCTAAAGACACACTCAAGGGAGCACACAGTCCCCCCCAGACTCACTCCAGGTGTGGCAGCTCTTTCATAGTTGCCTTCCTGCTGAGCCCCCTTCTCACCAGGGAGGGGACGTGATTCGTTCCTGTGCTGGGGTTATTTCCTAGCTCACTAATGGTGCTGGGCTCCATGCTCTCATCACCACTGCTCCTTTCCACTTGTGGAAGACATCTCTGGAGATTTCCTTGATGTCCCTTAGTTCTGCCCCATGTCTTTGTTTCCTCACATTCCCCTTTCTTTATCACAGTCTCTCCAAAAGGTTCTTCATGCTCTTCCTCAGTCTCTTCTACCCCACAGGTGCTGTCCATATGGGAGGGAACAACAAATATCCTGTCACTTGATGTCCTGCGATCCCTCACCAAGAGCCAAGGACAGGCGATGGCTGTGTTCTTCTCCACAGTGCAGGTGAGCCCACACCAAAAGCGCTGGTCAGACTGATTTTTCCCACCTTGGCAGAGTCTGGTTTGGTGTTCGTGCTCCTGGCTGAGACTGGCAGGGAATATGACCAAACTGAAAGCTTTAGACAGGTTCAGAAGGTGTCTTACAATCCTCCTCTTTAAATAGCACTTACAAAAGCAGAACACATACAGTGCTCATTTTAGGATCCTTGTGTGCTACAAAAAATGCAGATACTTTCATCCCAGCAGTGAAGAGTTTTGCATTGTCAGAATTCCTCATGACAGACACCAATATGTGTATTTTTAACGTGAAAGAGTCACCTTCCTGAATCCAAAATAATTTTGTGGTTTTGTTTCTTAACTGAAAAAACACCACAAGACTGCTGAATATTAAACCTTCACTAGGGCTTCCTACTGCATTATGACTTTCTATTTTTATTCCCACTGAGAAGATGGAAAGAGCCAAAGGAACTCCATTGCTTCCTCTTTAGATTTGCCATTCTCTGGCTTCACCTATAGGCTGCTCTCTTAAAGGTGCTTAGATGACAGGCAGTCATGGGGAGGTCAAAGCAGCTCAGAATTTCGTGAGAGTAGACGAGCATCAGCTAGCTCAATACATCCGGTAAAGGGAGACCGGAACCAGCCTGACCAGCCTATCGGAGGGTGTTCTTGCAGAGGTGACATTATTAATCCAGGCAGAGCAATCCAGATTACGTTAGCCCAGATACAGCGAGGGAATCCTGGAGTGCTGGATGTGACTATGTGTAGCCATCACTTTCTCATCCAGATGCCATGAGGAGGGAGAGGTCTGGGTCACAGCACTCCCTGGCACTGGATGGGTCTTTCAAAAATACACCAGCAAGAGCCTGACTCCTTCTCACCAGTGGCTGCCACTGGCAGCTTCTGTTACATTGCAGGCCCCCAGTTTGGCTGTATTCTGTACAGAGCACCTCTCTGACCTCCAGGGTTGTCTGCTTGCCATCCTCTCAGACAACTTCGGATAAAGGAAAAATACCTCAAACAATTTGACTACTAAACAAGAAACCCAAATCTGCTCATAAGCAGGACTGAGCACACCTGCTAATTAAAAAGCCAGCTGGTCCAGCTGTTGATAAAAAGCAGCTTAGTCTGCCACGGAAGGTAATGGAGTGGAGAAGGAAAGGAGCCAGTGGTAGGCTCTAAAAATAACTTGGAAATAAGCTGGCCTCCAGAGACTTACACTTAGGGTAATTTAAAGGAACACCCCACAAAGGGGCCGTGCTGCAGTCCCTAGAGCTCCTCACTGTGTAGCTCCCCCCAGCTTCTCAACTGGATAATCAGAGAAGCATTAAAGAACACAGTGATGTGATTCAGAGCAGGTACCTACACAGCAGTAACACCAAGTATTGAGATTTATTAATTAACAAGCTCATCAGTGCTCTTGCACTCCTACAAATCATGCTGTATATGAGACTGGAGGGTGAACAAGTGAGCACTGACTTTAAAGTAAGACCTTAAAATAAATTCCCGTAAGCGCCGTTGCATTTGCTGGTTTCTGTCACACTGAGGCCTCCTCCACTTGCACAGCGGGTGTCTGGAGCAGGCTGAGCTGGGAGGGCAGCACTGCTGCACTGATTCTGGATGTGATAGATCACTCTTGGCAAAATTTAACCTGGACACATCACAAAGCTTCTCCCTGAGGCCGTGGGCAGTTAGGCGCTGGGAAGGCAGACTGGGAGGTTTTTCTGCAGAGTGCCTCTGCAGCGCCAGGCAGGAACGTGCTGAGTTTCTACACCAGCATCAGGGTTCCACTCACAGGTGATAACCTCTTCTGGAGCTCCAGGTGTCTAAATTCTTTCAGTCTCTGGGAGTCTGGCTCATTTTGAAACATCCTTCCCATTCCCATCTAGTGATGAAATCATTTAGCCCTTCATAAAGGGATTTTTACTGCTCCAATACATTTCCTTTTTATTGAGGCATACAAAACTAGTACAATTGATTTTATGTTGCCCACCAAGGTTCTCAGTTTGCAGGATTTGTGCCCAGTGACTACTTTGTTATCACAGCATAACACTTTGTTCTGTGAACAAAGAACAGAGTAACCTCCCCCCTGACACCACTGCAACCTATTTTTGCTTTTATCCAGTGTCACTTACCTTTGCACATGATGGGGTGCCCAACGCTGAGGGTGCTGTGATCTAGAAGCAGGAACCCAATGTTGTAATTATCCTCAGGAAAAGGGAAATACAGAGAACTTCCCCACCCTTGCACAATGTGATTATCAGCAGCTGAATTTTTACGGTCCTTGATACACAGGCAAGTTTGTTACAAACTGCCTGCCCAGAGGTAATTAGTCTGCAAAATCTCAGGGGAACATGTGGCAAGAAGAGCAAGTGTGAGAGACAGCCCTGGATTCCAGCTCAGCTGTGCTGGCTGTTCCGGGTGGATACTGCACAGGGGTGGTTATTTCATGTTACACTCAAAAATTACTAGCTGGAATTTTGAGCCAGAGCATTGGGTGCACTTTAGAATTCAATTACAATCTGAAAAGTTACTCTACAATAGCACCAGGGAATTATTTGATTATTGCGTTTTAGTGGCTTTAGGTTAAATCTGGTCATGTTGTGTTTCTGAATGCCAGTCCTGCAGGCATCTTTCAGAGCTCAGTCAGCTGTCCTGTGCATCAGGAATGACTGTGCAGGGATGAAACTAGCTGTAAATCGGACACACAATCTAAGACATGTGATAGTGTTTTCAAGTCCTTTTCAGATCATAACCACAATTTTAACACAGCAGGAAATAAAAGTAGGTTATTAAAGTGAGACTGCATATTTGCTCGCGGCATTAATACGAGCCTTTTGCTTCTAGCCCAGTTTTGGATACTCTCCCTGTAGCTGTACTTTTAAATACTCTTTTAAGTATTTAAATAATCTTTTAAGTAAAAACCATTCTGGCACTCTTGCTTGGTAGCTAGTGAGAGCAAACAAATGAATGGCATCTTAAAATTCCTCAGTAAAACCCGAAGGAATCAGAAATATTGGCGCTCTAAAGGCTCTTTTGCTCAGAGGATTTCAGCCAGAAAGGAGCCGTAAACTGGCACAGCGCTGCCGCGTGCGTGTGCCTCCCCGCAGCTCCACGCTGCAGGAACTGGAGCAGATCAGCCTGCAGGAGGGAAACCAGGAGCTGCTTCTGCCTCAAGCATCGTCCCTGAAGCAGCTCTACAGCCTCTAGCTCTCAAATGCAGGGGAGGATGTGGAAAAAACCAGCTTGATCTCTCAGCAGATTCAGTGCTTTTGGTTAGGAAAAGAATGAGTGTAATCTGGAAAAAAAAATTTTTTCCCCTGAAGGTTAAAATGATGCTTTTATATTCCTGGTCCGTACTAAAAGGTCTTTAAACTTTAAAAAGCAAGTCAGCGTGGGACGGAGCTGTCGTACCCCAGCCACGAGCACGAGGGTGCTGACAGAAGCGCGAATGTTGTCTCTGCGCTTGGCCTGTGTGATCTGGCTTCCACCCAAGCTGCTGGGAATATGTTTATGCCTTTGGGGTCTTTGATCCTCGTTAGCAACAAGCTCCAAGCTACTTTTAAAACCTCTTATTAGCATTCTGTGGGCTTGGAGGGTTCTTCGGACTTTATCTTGGCACTAGACCTAACCGCTTTAATGATGATGTTTTTGTATTTGTACAGCATATGCTGTGAGTATTTATGTACTGCTTTGCCTAGAGCACAGAATAGCATCCATTGAGGATTGTGTTTTTCTTGTATTAATAGTCAGAAAATACAGGGCAATGGTTATGCAGAAGGTTGTCAGGCACAGACATTTGCTGAAAACAAAACCGGGTTCAGCTTGTGCAGTCCGGAGTCCTACTGTGCCAATAAGCTGCATTTTCATACTAGCAAAAGGAGCTGCATGAGCACTTAAGCACTGAAAGCCTCAAAACCACAAAAAATTTGTCCTGCGCTGCAGATACTTACAGGCTTCAGCTTCATAAATAACCCACAAATGAGGCTAATTAACAAAAAGCACCTGCTACACTACTGAAATATGCCAGGGTTCCGTTCTGTGGTTCTGTCCCAGGTAGCCCCTCGGTTCTGTGCAGAGCCGGGTTCCAGCGTTAGTGCGGCTGAGCCCGGCAGTGACGGCAGGGCCTGCCCTGACCGCGGGCAGGGCTGGGACACCCCAACGGCCATGGCCTGCTTGGCGGCAGCAGAGCCTAGCTGCCAGCGCCGCGGGGGTCGCAGGGGATGGAGGGGGGCGGCTGCGAGGGCGAGAGCTGCCTCTCCTCCACGCGTGTGACCTCAGGGGGGCTGAGGTGTCCCCCCAAGCCTGGCAGCTCCATGCAGGAGACACACTCTGCCCGTTCGATCCTGCCTAAGGGGGAACGACACGGGAAATGCAGATTAAAGGCAGCCACGTTGAAAGAGCAACTGGTTTTAGATTCTATAAGCAGAATATCACTTGTGCTTTCACAAGATATGCGCAAGTGCCCTTGTCCTTTCCCTAGGACAAGAGGGAATGGCCTCAAGCTGCACCAGGGCAGGGTCAGGCTGGCTCTGAGCAAGGATTTCTTTGCAGAAGGGGCTGTTGGGCATTGGAATGGGCTGCCCAGGGCAGGGGGGGAGTCCCCATCCCTGGAGGGGTTGAAGAGTCGGGTTGACCCAGCGCTGAGGGATCTGGTGGAGTTGGGAACGGTCAGTGTGAGGTTCATGGTTGGACTGGAGAAGTTTCAAGGTCCTTTCCAGCCTAGATGATTCCATGATTCTGTGAAAGTATTTGGGACACTGGAGAAACAGCAGCTTAGATCAACCAGGGGAGCTTTTTGGGTGGTGCTTTTCAGCACAGTTAAAGGCCTGACATCCATCAGAAGAGAGCCACTCTGGTCCTGGGTCTTTCCCACGGGCATGACTTGCAGAGAAAAGCTTCTTTAAATCTGCATTTTCCTGCCTGGACACAGCCCCAGCATCTTCACAGAAATGAAAATATAAAACTGGAGGAGATAGCGTATAACTAGAACCTGATACAGGCATGCGATCAGGGAGAACTGGGGATGCGATCTGTTCCCCGTGTGTGGCTCTAAAGCCAGCAAGGAAACAGCCCCACACTGGGTTTGGCTCCCAGGAATGCTCCAAGCCCACAAGCTCCCCTTTGGCATCGTCCCCTTTCCTGCTGCCGTGCCCTGGCCGCTCCCCCTACGGCAGCGCCAGCTACAGCCGCCTTGATTCAAGCCTTTTGTTAGCGGTTGCTGGGTGTGCTCAGGATTTCACCAGCCCCGTTTCCTTGCAGAAGGTAAATATGCTGTCATTTTTTCCTGCGATTGTTTTCTTTGCAGAAAAAACTGGAGTTGGCTTCGAGCACTGCAAATCTGGAACCCGCTGTGAAGCAAACACGGGATGCCCTCGGCAGCCTCACGCGGTTCATGGAGGCAGCTGGTTCCCAGGGGGCAGCGACCATGGAGCTCGCAGCAAGAGACTTCTCCTACACCCTGGCGAGGATCTACACAGGTAGTGGGGAAGATAAAAATGATGGATTTCAGGCCAGGAGAGGGCTAGGAATCAGTCCTAGGATGCCCTGCTTTCACAGATTCAGGGTAAAGGGTGGAGTTTTAAACCAAGCTCAGTCCCCGTCTGCTTTCAAACTGAGGCAGCTCAGCCTGGCAAGTGCTGCGGAGGAGTCAGCAACCCCCACGCTCCCCAGCACTTGTTTTGGCTGGAGCCCAGGAGTACTGATGTCTCCTACTCTTCCACAGGGGCTCTTTTAATCGAACACGCAGCACGGTCTGATGCTTCCTCCACCGACATCGCCACTGCTCGAAGGTAAGCAGAACTCCTCGAGCCCTGACCGGTTTGGGTGATTTCTCGTGCAAGGCAGCAGGCTCTGCTCTGCCTCTCTGAGGCCTGACCCCCAGCCGTGGTGAAACCCAAACCTCGTGTCACTATTGATGGAGACAAACAGATTCTGGGTTGGTTGCTGTCAACATTGTGGCTTTTCCCTGCCAGGGGGAATTGAATTCTAGCGGTGATGAGGGCCCCAAACTGGGCAAGACCCCAAGTTGAAAGCAGCATTATCGGGGCTCGGATGAACAGTTTGTGTTCTTTGTTCAGGTGGTGCAACCAGGAGCTGTGTCCCGTGGCCGCAGAGTTGGAGAACAGCAGCTACGAGGCGGAGGCCACACTCATGGACAGCGCGCTGGCCTACGAGGGCAGCCCCGCCCGCCCC